CATCCATCCATCATCCATCCATCCATCCATCCAACATCCATCCAACATCCATCCGTCCATCCATCCATCATCCACCCATCCAACATCCATCCATCCATCCAACATCCATCCATCCAACATCCATCCATCCATCCATCCAACATCCATCCAACATCCATCCAACATCCATCCATCCAACATCCATCCATCCAACATCCATCCATCCATCCATCCAACATCCATCCAACATCCATCCATCATCCATCCATCATCCATCCAGCATACATCTATCCACCCAACATCCATCCATCCATCCAACATACATCCATCCATTCAACATACATTCATCCATCCAATATACATCCATCCATCCATCCATCATCCGTCCAACATCCATCCATCCAACATACATCCATCCATCCCTCATCCATCCATGATCCATCCATCCATGATCCATTCATCATCCATCCATCCAACTTCCATTCCTCATCCATACATCCATCTAACATCCATCCCTCATCCATACATCCATCCATACATCCATCCCTCATCCATACATCCACCCATACATCCATGCACCATCCGTCCCTCCCTCCCTGTGGGGAGCTGGTGTTTGTCTCCAGTCTTGTATAAAGTATGTCAAAGTGATACATGAATAAAAGTACAAGTATTTTATCATAAAATAACTTTGGTAAATGTTAAAGTCTCCTCTAAGAACATTGACTAAAAGTCTTAAAGTATCTAATTTTTTTGTACTTAAGTATCAAGTAAATTTCTGTAAAAATTACCGTAAAAAGTACATATTCAATATAAGCACTCAAAGTAAAAGTATTGTGTAAAAGCGAACGGTTAGATTTTCCATAATGACATGTATTGGGAGGTTACCTACTTCAAATTTTTAAAGGCCATAATGGCTATAATATTATATTAACACCTGTTTCTGCTGCTGATATATATTTCTGATCAAAACTTTAAGACTGGTTGAAAAATAGCAAGAATTCACATTTTCCACTGTTGGATCATAAGAATAGTCACTAAATAGTCTAAAAAGAGCTTTCAAACACAAAAAGAAGAAATATGCTGTTCATCAACTAATGAAAAGTTTGACCACAGCATTTAAAAGCCCAAATATTGTTAAAAATGTGGCTTCAGTGTCATTTTGTCAGATATCCACAGGGTCATGACCTCCTGATGGCACAACAAAAAGGCTTTGTGTCTTTAAACACAGTCAGATTGTTGAGCTGCTGAGGCTGGACACACACAAACAGTCGTATCCTGAGGGTTACACAACTGTCATGAATTCTGTCCAGGTGTTTTTTAAATCCAGGTCATGTCCTGTTTATCCACCAGCAGTTAATGAAGCTGCTCATTGTTTGTCTGGTGTCCAGCAGCCCAGTAAACTCAGTCATTACAGGAACCAAACAGTCAGGTAGCAGACCCACAGAAAGGTACTGGGCCTGAGGCAGACAATGTAATCTGCTGTGTGTCAACAACTGGGATGATCCTCGGTCCACATTAAGCTCAACAGAGGTGCCAACTGCATCAGACTGCATCTGTAAGAGAAGGCTTCTAACAACTGAAAACCACTTCAAAAGCCTCGTCTCCTTCAATGTGGGCAGTTTGCAGGAGAGCTCCCTACATGAGACACACTAGCTGTGTTTCCATTACAAATGTGCACAAAACTTTGTCGATATTCTGTTAATGTTGAAAACACAGTTCCACAACTGCTGTGTTTCCATTAAGTAAGAAATGCTATTAAAGTCACGCGTGAATGCGTTTGTTCTCGTGATAAGTCATTACAAACATGGCGGCGATGGATGTAAACACATAGCATGTTGCTACCACGACACTAGCGCTCATCATCAGAGGAGACGTCGGCGTCTTTTATCGAGGCTTTCCAGAGACAAGTCCCTACTTGGGAGCGGCTACGTATGCTGTGTTTTTGGGAAATTGTAGTCGGTGAGTTTACTATTTTATACTACTTCTGTGATATTACTACTACTTCTACGTCCTGTTATCTTCTTCGTCATCTTTTTCACCAGCAGAAACAGCCGGTTGTTGATCACGTGACTCCTGTGATGTGAAAAAAGTGTTTCCATTGCAGTTTTGCGCAAAACACCAATTTCGATACGGCTGAAATACTACCTCATCCTAGCGCAAAAACATTTTGTCAAAAAATGTAATTTTTTTCTAAATTAACATGTTTCCATTGAGCAAATTTATTTTCAAAACTCTAATTTGCACATTTTCATGGTCAATGGAAACACAGCTACTCCCATTCTTGTATTTGTATTTCAAAGCTCTACTTAGAACCTTGTTTTGATCCAACAGTGTGAATTGTTGCCATTTTTCAACAGGTTTTACCATGTTGATCAGGACTGTTTATCCTGCTGATCTTTATACTCAGATACTAATGTCCTGCTGGTCTGGCTCATGTTCACATGTGATGGATCAGGTCAGAACGGTATAGATTTATAATTCCTGTCCAAACACAGTTAAATTAAATGTACCTGTTTGATAGATCTGGATAATGTTTTTAAATAAGTCAACATGAAACAGGAGTAATGATTTTTTACTTCTTATCTTTTTTAAATGTAAGGAAAAGTGAAAAGTCAGCTGAACAATAACTATTCAAGTCAAGTATAAATAACCTAAATTTGTACTTCCGTAAAGTAGCCAAGTGTTTGTACACTACTTGGTTACTTGTGTGTAGAGGTGAGTGTGTTGGAGGCAGGGGACACACAGAGACAAATGAGACAAACACTCACACAGTGACACAGTGGATGTGATGTCAGTGGTCCTTCTCTCACCTGTGGGCCTCAGAATAAAATGGGTCTGTCAGCAGTTTTTTCCTGCACATACAAGGTGAAGCGCTTGAGGAACTTGGGGTACTCCCTCTTGGCTACGGCCCTGAGCACGGAGGCAGGAGCCCACCCTCCTGGATTCACTGCACAAACACAATATCACACCTCGGTTAATGAGTATACATGTATTTTACATTGGTCAAAAGACTGATGTGGTTTGATATATTTCTAAAGACAGGTAATATCTAATAAATATACATATTTTACAAACAATCCTGATCAATGTGGAACTAAGAACATGAGACACCTCCTTTACAGATGTGATTTTAAATATGAAATAGATGCAACTAAAGCTAATTAAGACAGTGGAGCATAAAAACACTCTGGCTTTAGGACTGGAGTCATAGGACAGTGTGAAGCTGTCGTTTGTTTATATCCTGAATTATTCTTCATTTCTGCTGCTATAGACTTAGACTGCTGGAGCACAAACTGAGCACATTTCCTCACTCTGCTGTTGTCTTTAGTCTCTCTTCTCTACATGTTTATTGTAATTATTTCTATCATGTTTTTTTCTTTGTTTCTTCCAGAAGAAGGTGCACCTGGACCAGTCCTGGACCAGTTCTTCTGTGTTTGTCTGTGTCTCTTTCCTGTCCCTCAACCAGCCGGTCGAGCCAGATGGTCTCCTGTCCTGAGCCTGGTTCTGCTGGAGGTTTCTTCCTGATTAGCAGGGAGTTTTTCCTCTCCACCGTTTGCTCAGGATGGGAGACTGTGATGAAGTGATTCAACACAATCTGCTGCTTTCTTCTTTAGATTATTCTTTTTATGTACAGTGTCCTGAGACAACTTATGTTGTGACTTGGCGCTATATAAATAAACTGAATTGAAATTATTTATATAAGTACTTTGTGGTTTGGTAGTTCACTGTGAAACTAGTTTAATGAGCAGGAAACAAAGTCTGACTTCAACCAGTGATGATGCTGTAAGAACAGGATGATTAGAGGCTCACAGGCTCAGTATGAAGAGGTTAATAACAGGAAAATGTAATGATTCTCCGTCTGGCAGCAGGTCAGGGTTCCTGCTGAAAGAAGGATCATTTTATCACAAAGCTGCAGCTCAGATCAGGTCTAAAGACACGTTCCCAACAGATCTGCTGTTCCCTCCGATACCAGGGACCCTCTGATACCAGGGACCCTCTGATACCAGGGACCCTCTCATACCAGGACCCACGATACCAGGGACCCTCTGATACCAGGGAACCTCTCATACCAGGGACCCTCTCATACCAGGGACCCTCTCATACCAGGGACCCTCTCATACCAGGGACCCTCTCATACCAGGGACCCTCTCATACCAGGACCCACGATACCAGGGACCCTCTCATACCAGGGACCCTCTCATACCAGGGACCCTCTGATACCAGGGCCCTCTGATACCAGGGACCCTCTGATACCAGGGACCCTCTGATACCAAGAATCCACTGATACAGGGACCCTCTGATACCAGGGACCCTCTGATACCAAGAATCCACTGATACAGGGGCCCTCTCATACCAGGGGCCCTCTCATACCAGGGACCCTCTGATACCAGGGACCCTCTGATACCAGGGACCCTCTGATACCAAGGACCCTCTGATACCAAGGACCCTCTGATACCAAGGACCCTCTGATACCAGGGACCTTCTGATACCAGGGACCTTCTGATACCAGGGACCTTCTGATACCAGGGGCCCTCTGATACCAGGGACCCTCTAATCCCGGCACCGTCTGATACCAGGGACCCTCTGATACCAGGGCCCCTCTGATACCAAGAATCCACTGATACAGGGACCCTCTGATACCAGGGACCTTCTGATACCAGGGGCCCTCTGATACCAGGGACCCTCTGATACCAGGGACCCTCTGATACCAGGGACCCTCTGATACCAGGGCCCCTCTGATACCAAGAATCCACTGATACAGGGACCTTCTGATACCAGGGACCTTCTGATACCAGGGACCTTCTGATACCAGGACCCTCTAATACCAAGAATCCACTGATACAGGGACCCTCTGATACCAGGGCCCCTCTGATACCAGGGGCCCTCTGATACCAGGGACCCTCTGATACCAGGGACCCTCTAATCCCGGCACCGTCTGATACCAGGGACCCTCTGATACCAGGGACCCCCTGATACCTAATGCCAGGACCCTCTGATACCAGGGACCCTCTGATACCAAGGACCCTCTGATACCACGACCCTCTGATACCGGGACCATCTGATACCAGGGACCCCCTGATACCTAATGCCAGGACCCTCTGATACCAGGGACCCTCTGATACCTAATGCCAGGACCCTCTGATACCAGGGACCCTCTGATACCAGGGACCCTCTGATACCAGGGACCCTCTGATACCAGGACCCTCTGCAGTTGGATAAATTAAATAATATCCTGTAATAAGGCTGAAGCCTGTTGTTGTTTAAGAGATCATTTCTGCACCATTTTAATTCATCATGAACTCATGTAAGTGAACACATGCATGGGTTCATTTTTCACTGTGTGTCTGCTGTTTACAGTCATTGTTTCCCAGCATACCCTGACAACTCAACTGTTTACACACCAGCTGTGACACTGCTGTGGGGCTGTACACATTTCATTAACACACCTGGCAGCTCAGTGGTTACAACTGCTGCATCACAGCAACAACACCCTGCTTTGAGCCTGGGCTCTTTCTGTTCGTCTGTTCTCCAAATGTTTGTGTGGCTTTGCTCAGGATACTTCAGTTTCCTCCCACAGCCAAGACAGCTGGTAGGTTTCCTTCAAGCCCAGGCCTGCCCTACAAACAAGATCTGTGATTTTACTGAGACTTACCTGTACAATAAAGGTTCATAAATAATATATAATAAAGTTTTGCCTAAAAAAGGTGTCCTGAAGTACACGTTACCATTTCTGTCC